TGTCTCTTTCAGCAGCACGTCTTCCTCAACCAGCAGTCAGAGAGAGTTCTGCCTCTAGGAGGCCTCCTTTTGAGCTTGGCAGAGTGGCCACACCAACCAATCATAACAACAGAATTCTAAGCACCTGAGAGTGAGCCTCCCATAACATTGCGTTGTGCCACGCCCAACAGAAATAACCCGGTGGGTAACATTTACAATCAGGAGCTCCTCAGTTGCTCATAGCAAATCCCACCGTGGAGTTTACAAAGCCTTAGGGTAGAAAAGCCACACTAAGTAATTTACTACACCGCAGCTTGGTAGAGAGGGTCACTGAAAAAGAGGAAGACCTTCAACGAGATAGACTGATACAATGATTGCAACAATGGGCTCAAGCATAGCAATGACAGGATAGTGTAGGTCCGAGCTATGTTTCACTCTGTTGTATATAGTTATTATGAGTCAGAACCAACTCAATGGCACCTAACAACAACAAATCTTGATGGGAGCAGATCCCTAAGTCTTTTCTTCCATGGAGCTGCTGGATGGATGGGTTCAAACTACCAGCAGCCAAGTGTTCAACCTTTGTACCACCAGGGCTCCCTAAGCATCTGTAGTCACCTTAAATTAAAGTGAAAGCATCATGCTAGGTTCCAGAGAGACTATAAAATTCAACAGTGCCCTAGCCTTAAAGGGTAGGTCTCTGGGTGGTGCAAATGGTATGTGCTCAACTATTAACCCACTATGTGATTTAAACAAGTTACTAAACCTTTGTCCTCAATTCTTTCTCTGTGAAATGAGGGCAATGACTCTTGCCTTACTGTGGTCTCACCAAAAAAAAAAAAAAAAAAAATTGCTGCCATTGAGTAAATTCCAACTCATAGCAACCCCCTTTGGGTTTCTGAGGCAGTAAATTTTTACGGAAGTAGATTGCCCAGTCTTCTTTCTGTGGAGTGGCTGGTGGGTTTGAATCACCAACCTTCTGGTTAGCAATCACATGCCTTAGGCACTACATCACCAGAGCTCCTTTACTGTGGTCTAGAGTTGTCCTAAAGACCAAATGTACAAAAGGGATTAAATGTGCTTTCTAAATTGCAAAAGGTACTACACAAACATATTGAATTATCATGTTCTATCTTGTATTAAGTGTACTTGTTTTTCTTTTACAGTAATCTGTAAACTCTTTGAAGAAAGGGGTTATATTTAATTATCTTTATATTTCCAGTTCTAGCACATAGGAAGTACCCAACACATTTATGTAGCAATAAACCCATTGCTGTCAAGTTGACTCCAACCCATAGTAACCCTATAGGGCAGTGTAGAACTGCTCCACAGGGTTTCCAAGGCTGTAATCTTTACAGGAGCAAACTGATGTATCTTTCTCCTATGGAGTGGCTAACCAATGACTTTTTGATTAGCAGCTGAGCACTCACCCACTACACCAGCAGGGCTCCTTGTATAGCCTTAATCTGAATTAATGCAGATTTCAACAATGCTTCAGGTTTTAGCCAGAGGATAGGCAGGGCTGCAGAGCTGCACAGTTCTAGGGGATGATATTCCCCTCATACTCTATGTGAATGGTGCCCCCTAGAGTTGTGCAGCCAAATGTCAAATATGTAGCCTGGCCTCAGGACAGGATCCTAATGTCTCAGGACAGGAGGCAGCCTTGCATTGTCACAACTTACCCCAACAACTCAAAAATTCAACATGGCATATTGGAAGTTACAGAGGGCAACAGTGATTCCACGGTAGAATTCTCTCCTTTCATGAGGGAGATCCAGGTTCAAGTCTCAGTCAGTACACCTCATAAGCAGCCACCACCCATCCGTCAGTAGAGGTTGCATGGTGCTGTGCTGTCAAACAGGTTTCAGTGGAGCTTCCAGACTAAGATGTACTAGGAAGAAAGGTCTGGTGATCTACTTCCAAAAATTAGTCAGTGAAAACCAGTGGATCACAGCGGTCCAATCCCCAACCAATTGTGAGGATGGTGCAGGACTGATCAGTACTTCATTCTGTTGTACATAGAGTCGACTACACAGCAGCACAACAGCAACTGGAAGTTGCATTTCACTTTTTAACTACCCTTTTTTAAAAGGATGCTAAGAACGATGTGTTTTGGATGGGGGTACACAGAGGACAACACCATGCAATATTACCATGCTTAGATCCACATCATCATCAGGAAGCAGGTTGATCATGCTCAGCTCCCCTCCTACATAAGGCAGCTCGAGGACCTGTGTGTCCATCTCCTTGATGCAGGACATGAGGAACTGTGCATGCTGGTACATCATCTGCACTTGTCTGTTTTCATTCTAAAGGAAGCACATATGATCAAAACCAGATGATTGAATGAGGAAGGTAAAAGATTTTAACTTATTAAAGCTATGAACCTCATTCTTGATACTAACATGATGCAGTTAACAAGAAAGTAATCTCTGGCATTTGGGTCTCAGTTGCATTTAAAAACTCAAAAGGAATAATTGTGATTCTCAGGGTCCCAATGTTTCAAGACAGTTTCTGCACAGATAGATATAGCCTTACCTTGCTAATTCTAAAAGGCTTTTCTCCAGTATATTTTTCGTTAAACTGCTTAGAACACTTCCCTTTAAAGTATATAGCATTGATGAGCACCAGTTTTGTCAATGAGTCAACTGATTTGTCAGGCAATACCTCCAAGACTTTGTCTTTTAAAAAAGAAAGAAAATGGGTTTAAATAATACTTAGATGCACACATAACACACGTAAAGAGTATACCATGATAATTATAGTGCATAGTAGTCAAATTCATGTAAATTTGATATTGTCATCAAACAATAATATATACATTTCACAGTGTTTGAAACTTTCTTAACAAGATGGGGTTTAGAAAGTTTGAAATGGTTGTTGTCCCTACAAGAAGACAAATTATAACTCTGCTTAAAAGAAGGTAGGAATAAGTAAAGCAACAATATTAAGGAGGTTGATAACATAGAGAAACGCTTATAAAATAAGTAAACAGGTTGGATACAGTAAAATTACAGGTGTGTCAAGCTTTATAAAGGAGCTCTGGTGGTGTAGTGGTTAAGGCATTTGGCTGCTAACAAAAAGGTCGATGGTTTCAACCCACCAGCTGCTCTGTGGAAGAAAGATGGGGCAGTATGCTTCCATAAAGATTTACAGCCTTGGAAACCCAGTGAGGGTAGCTATGAGTAGGAATTGACTCAATGGCAGTGAGTTTGGTTTTGGTTTTCTGGCTTTATGAGAAAAACTTGATGAAAAACTGCTGAAAGAAGAGAATCCTGTCAGTCAGGGTATGGAGAAATATAGAAGTGGAATGGAAGGTTAGCATGAGGAAACTATGTCTGACTGGAATAGTAGGGTGGAAAGTTGGGGAAGTAGGTATGTGGGATTAGGTGACAAAACCACCAACTTCACAGGTTCCCTTCATGAATCAGGCACTGCATCAAGGGCTTCAGCTACATAACTTATCTGATCTCACAACAGATAAGTTTTTCTTGGAGGAAGGCTCTGAGATGATGCCCACAGGGCACCATGAGGCTCTCCCATTTCTCACATTCGAGATAGGACTGGGTGCACTGAATGGGTACACTTCCTCACAGTTGTAATTAAGCCAAAGATCTTCCAATGTCAGGACTGTTTCCATCTTTGTGTCCCCAGTGCCTGGGCAAAAGTCAACTTCTTTATGCAGTTGTTAAATTAAATGAACCTGGATGAAATCACTTAAAACACCAGCCATTCTCTGGCCACTATGCACCAAGATATGAGGCCTTACTACTGGTCTGTTGATAGGTATGGAAATAATTAATAAAAATTTCATTTGCTGATGACTGTTGCTGCAAAGCTTTTTTTTTTTTTTAAGTCTCCCAGAATAACGAAACATATCTTTTCCTTATCTAATAATCTTACCCATTTATATTTAGTAGAAATACTTCATGGAGATCTTAATAACAACATAAAAGTAAAAGCTCTCACCTTCAGTCTTTTCTGCAACCAAGGCATTTATACGCTGCCTGGGGGCCTCAATAGCCTCTGCAAAGGAGAGTCTCTCTGGTTCTGCCTGGTAAAATTGCTGGCAAGATTCTTTAAATTCCTACAATAAAGACAGATAATTAAAACAGTACTTCTCATTCCTATGCAGTCAACAGATTTTTCTGAGAAGTGAAAATCCTAAAAATTGTGCTGATGAGATGGTCAGCTTCCTATCAACAACCCAGATTGTCATGGATGAGGTCAATGACCACATTGTGAAGATGATACAGAGCAACAACAGGAACTGATTGGAGCTCTGGTAGCATAGTGCCTAAGGCACTTGACTGCTAACCAGAAGGCTGGCGGTTCAAACCCACCAGCCACTCCTCGGAAGGAAGGTTGGGCAATCCTACTTCTGTAGTGATACTGCCTCGGAAACCCAAGGAGGGGTTGCCATGAGTCGGGGCCGACTCGACGGCAAATAACAACAACAACAACAGTAAAAAGAGTCAGTCTATCAAGGTAATGATCAATCCTAAAACAATTAGCACATTTGTTCACCTTGCTCCATAACTGGATGTTAAGGTCTTTAAGATGGTACTCTACAGTATACCCTTGTGACCCCTCCCTTCATTCCCACCTCAACACCTAGTGCAGAGCTCGCAGCATTTGATTCATACTCTTTTTTTCTATCATTCTTTTTCAGGCTTGCCGAGAAGTTACTTTCATTTAGGGTCTTTAATTCCACTTCACCAACTGCCTGTCTGTTGTACTATGGTGGCTTACATGTTGCTATGATGCTGGAAATTATGCCACCAATATTTCAATACCAGTAGGGTTACCCACAGTGGACACATTTCAGCAGAGTTTTCAACTAAGCCAGGTTAGGAGAAAAGGCCTAGTGATCTACTTCTGCAAATTAGAAAATGAAATATCTATGGATCACAACAGCATATTGTACTGGCAGATAAGACCCTAGGTTGAAAGGCCTCAAAATATACACAGGCTGCAATAATGGACTGTTGTTGTTGTTATGTGCCGTCAAGTCAGACCTGACTCATGGCGACCCCTCCTTGGGTTGCCAAGGCAGTATCACTACGGAAGTAGATTGCCCAACCTTCCTTCCGAGAAACCCACCAGCCTTCTGGTTAGCAGTCAAGTGCCTTAGGCACTATGCTACCAGAGCTCCCCAATAATGGACTACAGCATACTAAGATTGTAAAGATGGAACAGGACTTGGCAACATTTTGTTAATTTGTACATAGGATCACCATGAATCAGATACAACACCACAGCCAACAAACAATTCCTGCTAACTGATAAGAGTTTTGCTAAATTTATAGCCATTTTTTCTTTATCAGTCATGACCTCCTTAGGCATGACTTACTGACAGAAAATCATAAATCTTCTCTCCAAAGAGCCTATTGGCCGTTCTCAGCAAATACTCTGTTCCTGGCTTGCTAATCTTAGTGACAAGTGATTGGAAACCCCAGTGAATGTCTTCACCTCTATTTAAAGAAAGCACCTGTCAAGAAAAAACAAACAGAGTAAGTGTTGCCCTTCAGTTTCTGAAAGAACAGTGGGTGCTCATCAACTAAAATCTAGAAAAAAGCTCAGCTCCACTGGGTTTTTCCCTATCTTAGCAAAGAGGTAGTTTGACTTATTCCAGAAGATTCAAACATTTGGGGAAAGATCATGTGAGCAAACTGGAAGTGACCAAGCAGCAGTGTTAATATTTTGTAGACTGAAACTTGCTATGTTCATGGTTCATCAACAATGACAGAAATGACAATGAGAACAATAACCCCAAGGCATATAGTAGTGCCACAATCACAAGGTACTATTAACAGTGTTATGCTAACATATTTTGGTTCATCTTTGTGGTTAATTAGCAGGACACACAGAGCACCTGGTGGTTTCCCTATTCTAGCTGTATAGATTGACTTGTTCCTCAAGACAAGTACACATGCAGTGTATTATGCAGGAATCTCCTGTGTGCCAAAACATGTCTTTGTCCAATACAACTGGATTAACTAATATCTTCACTATTTTAACAAACAAAAAGAATATTTTCCTTAAAAATTTGGTTTCTCACGTGACCTGCACAATAACACTAATGAAAAGAAATACACAGAGAGGTGCACAAGAGGTACAGACAACAAAGATAAACACTTTTACATACACAATACTGCATTATCAGTAATAACAAACTTTAATCTATGGGTGGATACACAGGTAGACAAGCTAAATGATCAGGTATGTCTAGGCAAAAGGCAATATATGCATAACCATATGTAAGTTTGGCAGATGATATTTCTACATATGTACATGCTACAAGAATGTCCATATATGGCAGAGCCTAGAAGGGGCCAGAGAACCCATGCTCTGGAGCTCTGAGCATTCGCAAATTCCCTCCGCTTAACTACTCTGAAAGTTGTTCTGTCCTTCAATGAAAGTGTATGTTAAGTTCTGGTAAGATGGTGCAATAAACAGAAAGATTGCACAGACCCTCTTCAACAAAGAAAAGGGGAGCCAATTAACACAGACCAGAAGATAATCCTGGACCCCTGAGCCTTGAAGGGAAGGATATAGAAGTGGACTAAACCCCAACTAGCAGAACAATTTACATGAAAACACCAAAAAAGGAGACATATGGAGCTGTGGTCTGGCAGTGATCCTGAGCAATCCTGATGGCACCAACAGCTTGGAGACTGCGGAGTCTGGTAGGACCTAAGAATTAATCTAAAAATCAGTCCTGCTATCTAGGGACTGCAGAGAGGACTGCTCTGGTGGCTGGGGAATAAAAGGAGAAGCAGCAACGAAGAGGCAGGCAGGCTGAACTGTGGACTTTTGCCTGTCCGGAGGGCACGGCCATTTTGAAAGTGTGCAAGTGGCTTGACCATCTTGGATATTTAAAGAGACAGCACTCTCGCAGATTCCAGGGGTGTAAGAACTGGTTCTGCTTGCCAGTAACCCAAAGGACACTCCGGACTTGGACAAGTGAAAAGGTGTGACATTCCCCTTGTTAGGCGTATACCCCACAACCGCTTGGTGAACAGAACTGTGGCCATCCCCCACTCTCACCTACCTTCTGGGCCCACAGGAACTCCATCCCAGTCTGTGTGCTCAGACGAAGCCTGGGTGCCCTGCCTGTCTTCCCTTGATCTTTTTCTTTTTTTTTTTTTCTTTTTCTCTTTCTTTTTTCTGGTTTTTAGTGTGCTTGTATTTGTCTGTTTTAAAACTACTATTATTACTAATATTTTTGTTCTTTTTACTATTATTCTTTATTCTCCCCCTCCCAGGTCCTAGTTTGCAGCTTTTTTTTTCTTTTCCCTGTTCCTGGTTGCAAATTTTTAAAAAAAAATTTTTCCTGTTTTCTTGTGGTTAACCCCATTCCTTGTTTATCTTTTTGGATTTTTCCCATTTTTTTCTTCATTATTCTCCTTCTCTACCTGTTTTCTCTTATTGCCCTATACACAGCTATTGCAGGTTTTCTTGTTTTTCTCTTCTTCTTTTTCCCTTTTTTCTTTTTTTGGTTACTGTTCCTGTGTGATTACATGGTGTATTTTTTGTCCATATGCTTTTAGTTTTCTGATGGTATTTCAACTGTAAATTTTGTCTAACTTAGTGGGATACAGCAACAGTCCCCATGAGACACAACTACATCCACACCTCCTGCAAATTCACTTACTGAGCGAGAGCAACCACCTCCTTCTCCACCAG